CGCATTGGGTACGAATTCGTTATATGATCGAGTTCATTGAATTAATCTTTTGTCAAGCCTTGTAATAAGATTAATAAGCAGTAGATAATTTCCTTGCTCTGTGTTTATAAGCGAACAGTGTAAAGGGCACGGGTTAATGAAAATCCGCGCAGGGATTTTCTGTCCGAGATGAGATTCTAATCCGAGTGCAAAGAATTTAAAATACTCGTGGACAGAGTATTCGCGTTAAAAATGTACGGAGATAGAACTGAGACTTGAATGGTGGTTTTTTTTGCCGGTGATAGCCGGAGCGTAATTCGGAGCACCGGCCCGTCCCTGGAATTATTCGTAATCTTCGAAGAGTCTAGTACAGGGGATGGTTAAGGGAGAAAGAGAGAGAGAGAGGGAGAGAGAGTTGACGATCAGTGCTGGAAAGGAGACCCCGCATCCCTTACGCTCTGGCAGCACCACCGGCAACAACCCTCGCAGCCTGCACGCCGGAACAATGGAAACAATACATTGAAATGAGAAAGTTGGTTTGCATTGTCGGACAAGCTCGTGCGCGCGGCTGCTTGCTTGCGACGACGACGCGCAGGGGAGAGGAGGAACCCGGCTTGCGTCTGTCTAACCGCGTCCCTCTCTACTTGTTTTCCTCCGCTCGTTTTTCCCTTCGCGTCCTCTGCCTTTTACCCCTTTGTGCCTGTGGGCTACGTACGTGTGCCCGATTCCGCTCTTTCTTTTTTTCCTCCGCTCCGAGGCGCCCCCGTCTCGTTTCCCATCGGCCGGCTGAAAGAAAGGATTGTAAACTGCCGGATGAGCCGCGGATTCCGGAATGGGGACTGCTGCTCCATTCGCCGGCGAAGCTCTGCCCTCGGTGAATCAGGAACGCGAGCATCAGCAATTAGTCGGAGAGATATCTCCATCCGGGCGCATTTTAATAAGTTAATCGGGTCGGATCCTCGCAATGACGACGACGACCACGACGTCGACGACGACGTTGTCCGCATGCCAGCCCGTACAAACCGTCGGATCGAATTTTTAAGATGTTTTCACTATCGCCGGTATTCGAGCGGAGATACTTTCAGACAATACCGTCCCGGGAACAATACCGACGATAGAATAACCGTGTGTACCGTTCGCGACTGAATACGTGCGCGGTTTTTTAAGTGTCCCATTCACCGCGATACCACAAACGCTCGTTCGAGATAATTTTGCAACGTGAAATTATATGCATCTCCGCCATAGAGATAAAAAGTTGTACGCGGAGTTACGAGTCCCCTCGTTTGTTCCGATAGTAATCTCGTACACTGGTATTTTACTTATTCAACTTCCACGGCTATCGAATCGAATCCCTCGTATAAAATTCGAACCCGCGAATTTTCGGGGAAACGTTTCGCCAGCCGATTACCGAGATTTACACACAGCGATACCGGAGTTTTGTAAAAATAACTACAAATCATTCCGCGTCCCATCGTCCATATTTCACCGTCGCCATGTCAGCTCTGCTTCATTTTTCAACGCTCGAATTAGTGTTTAATTTTAATTCGAATTTTGTCGACGAACGCAAATGTAACCGGGATGTGGAATCTTTGATCAACAGGCATTAATAACGCGGTCGGACCTGAAAGGTCGGAAATGCGAGCTCGGTTGAGGAAGAATCTGCGAAGAATAAGTGGTCGGTCTCGCTTGTGCAGGGGCTGTAAGAGATGTTGACGCAAAGCATTACGCAGATGGTCGATGGACGCTGCGTCTCGAACGCGAGCGCGGTAGAAACAGAAGTGTACAGCTTCAGGAGGTACTCCCGATGACGTCGAGGGTTGACTAAGGTTAGGCCACTCCAGCGTGTATCGCGTGCAACTCGGGGTAGGGGTGGCGAACGCGCAAACATTCATATGCGTGCCTGAGAGTGTAACACGGGCCTCGGCGTCTGCGGCCGACCCTTTTCTCCACTGTTACAGCCGAGTGTATCCGCGGGGAGCGCGGGTAGTCCTCGAGTAGTTGCACGGGACGCGGGCGCCTCCTTCCACCCCTCGTTCGTTGCGTCCTCCATTGTTTAGTTATTCTGATGAGCCAGTGCATTTCAAATACCCTCGAACGGGCCATTATATCGGTGAACACATTGCTTCCTTTTAGGCCACGCGCGCCCCTCATCGTCGTCGCCGGTGACAGCTTCCTTTTACCGGATCCGGACATTTTTATATTCCTCGTTAATTGGACTCAACTGCGTTGATAAATCGCGGTGCGTGCCGACTTTCGAGGGCTGAGTCCGTCCCACGTTCTGACGTCCACTTAACGTGGAAGAACCTCGTTGATTCCGCTCGGTAAACGATTCCAGAGGGATGCAAACAGAACGTTCAAAGAAAGTGGAAATTTCGTATGTAAGGACACTTTCATGTATTTATCATCTGACAAATATTTAACATAGAATGAGGTAATAAAGTCATTCGTTCATTCGTATTGTTAGAACGTTTTATTCGATTATAAATTTTACAACGTGTCTTAACACTTGCAAACGGTCTACGATCTGCGTATACACGTGTATGACGTATTGGAGGGTGAAATCGCACGCGGTTTCCTTTCAACGATTATAGGTATAGTTTTATTCGGCCAATAACAGCATCGATGTGTGGGTCGGTTCTTTTTTCTTGCTCCTCCTCCTTCTGTTCCTCTTCCTCCACTATTCCTCCTTTTGTTCTACTATTTTATTCCCGGTAAAAGCTGAAACGGTGAATAGGCACCGAGGAAAGCGCTTTTTATTCGATCAAAAGCTTGTTTTCACTTGTTAGCGCGCGATTATCCGCCATTATTCGAAATTAAAAATACCACTTCGGCGAGCACGTTCATCCCAGTTCTCCTTTTTTTTTTTTTTTTATTCGTTCGGTGAGGGAAAATGGAATTACCGTGATACTCGATTCTCTCCATGTTAATCCGGATTATGAGTCGGCGGGACTCAAAGAATGGGAGTACAACAAAAAATGGGGAATCGTGAGTATGGAAATTCCCCGCCGTCTTCGATCGTACATTCAACCGCGAGTTTGTTACGCATCTGATTTAACTCTTTATAAATAACTCGCTTCTTCACCAGAAATACAGGTCCATCTGTGTTTCATACAATAATTGAGCCGTTCAGTGCACACATCGATTAACTCCACTTTTTGAAAAATCTTAAATTTATGTGTCAAAGCATTTGGTATAGTCATAACTTGTGCTTTGACACATAAATTTAAGATTTTTCAAAAAGTGGAGTTAATCGATGTGTGCACTGAACGGCTCAATTGATGTATTAATTGATAAACAGTTTCATTTAATAATTGATACAGTCGTACATACGCTAATTGATTGACACTACATACTCTATTTTATTATTACTAACACACGTAGTACGCGTGCTAGTAATGGAAACGCGTTAATTGAACATTAAAGGGAACTTAAGCAAACGCAGGAGAGTTAGCCGACGTGAAACTGCTGTTATAGGGAATTAAGTTACCTTTATAATGTGAAATGGACTCGGCACGGAAAATATAAAATTACCGTTACCGGGCTACGATCTTTCCCTTTGGAGAAAAATTGTTGCGGAGTGTTCCAAGGCGGCGGAATGTGGGTCACGATGATGTTAGAGAAATCACGGAAAGAGAATACGGCCAGAGGGTGACTTCTCTTCGAATAAAACAGTTCTCGTTCAAGATGCTGCAGTTTCCTTTGGCTCGATCACTTTAGGGATGCCAGCTACTGAAAGCAATCCGGCCGGAAACCGTGGGATTCTACTGGAAATTCTCGAGGCTTCACGTACAAAGATTGTCTCGGATACCGGTCTCAAGCCAACGGGAAGTTAATTAACGTCGTCGGCGTAATACGAAAGGAAAAACTGTGCGGGATCGTTCGGAAATTAAAATTTTCTCACGAAATCGTATTCGAGTTTATTCATATTTAATATCTAGTTTTCAAACTATCCGAGAGTACTGTTCCTGCAATTTATTTCTAGGGATAACATAAGATGGACGAAAGATTGAATTTCTCGTATTTTCCAATGCAATTTTCCGATGCAATTTTCCGATATGTCATTTGATTTGTACGAAGAACGACGATAGACTCATGGAAAATAGAAGCAATAGAAAAGTGTTGAACCCGCAATCATATTTACCAATGCAATTTATCAATACATATAATATATATGGGGGACGATATATTCTTTGATGGACAAATTTTGATGGACTAATTGAGAATGGGAGTAGAAACCTGTTGAATAGCAGTTGTACTTTCGAGCTTAATTTTTCAATGCATAATTAAAAGCTCCTTCGACCGGGCGTTTGGAGGCCGGAGACGCCCATCAGACATTATTAACTAAAACGTAAATGGGGTAGACGGCGATATTCGTTGCACGTTCCTCCGGGCATTCGGTATACTTCGTTGGGCCGGCTTCCAGATGGGCAATGCCGGACGGAATGCGGAATACATCCAGGTGGACCGGCATTCCTACTTAAATCAACATAACTCGGGTGATGAATGGTTAACAGGCTTCGCGGGGGGCGATGCAACGCGCTCCATTTATGGAAGCTATTACGGCCGAATTTCAGCGTTAAATGTGTGATTTATGGCCGCCCGTATTATCTTCGTTCGTGTCCCGACGATACACTGCGTCCCCTTTCCGCTTCCTGCATTTCTGAAAATTACTTTAAACTCGGCAAGTCGAGCGAGAAAAATTCATCAAACCCGCGTGCAGTGATTAATGTCAGTCCGTCGATTGATGCAGGAAGAAATATTTATCTTGCCCCAAAGGACCGTACGTTACACGTATAGACTATCAGTCGTGTAGAAATAACTACATTAGCAAATTATACTCATAAAGATACGATGTAATACATTTCATTACGACAAGAGTGTCTCTCGTTTTTAATTAGAGGATTCACTCGTAGAATAAAGTAAAAGTATGCTGGCTACATAAAGGTGGGAGTAAATGAAAGCAAGGAGACAGATGAAAGAGAGAATCCGCGGCTCATTATGACGGAATCCGTTTGTTGCAGGTTGCGACGCCTCGTACGAGATGCAGGGGCCGAGCTTCGTGTCGGAGCCAGCGTCGCGGGTGGAATTCACGAATGTGAACGGTGGCCGTGTGGACTGCATAGTGAGAGGAAATCCGGCGCCGACCGTCGACTGGCTGGCAGCGGACGGCGGCAGTATAACGAGTATCCCCGGAATCAGACACGTCCTTGGCAACGGGACGATCCACTTTCCTGGCTTCGAGGCCGAGGTCTTCCGGCAGGATGTCCACTGGGCCATTTATAAGTGTTCCGCCGTCAACAGTGTCGGTGCCATCGTTAGCAGAGACGTCACTGTCAGAGCAGGCACGCGAAACTTCTTGCTCGTTATCTGCATTATGTTGTCTGCCCGGTACACCGCTTGCTTTCTCCGCTATCTACTCTCTCGTCCGACCCTAGACTTCCTCTTCCTCTTTCTTCTCGAGTGAAGAAAAACAGATCCTATTCCGTGGAATAATGTATTGGTTTTGATTGATCGCCCGCGTCGATATGGAAATATTTGTCATCTTTTCTCAAGCTCCCAGCGTGTTGTTTGAATAAAAAAAAAAAAAACTTGAAGGGGATAGGAGAGATCCGCGGCTTTACATTAAACATCCCTGGCACCGGTTGGCGGCCAACGCCGCCGCCGGTTCCGCTCTTAGACGGAATAATTCATCCCTCCGATCGGAAGATAGTACGTCTTCACTATGAAATATTTATTCCCATCGGGGTTTGTGATTTGCTCCGTTTCGTCGCTGGCTTCGATGCACCTGGGATACGGGCAACCGGAGATGAGAACGCGATTCACCGCTGACAGTTCGTCTAGTTTGATGCGGAACGAACCTCTGGGATACTTTTTACGATACAATTTCTGCGAGTAATGAGGCGATCGATAAAATTCCAACTGAAAAAGCAGAAACTTCTTATCTCCCAAGGAAGAGTCGTTTCCTACGTACAGGGTGGATAAATAAGAAGTGTCGTACGATATAGGTCATCGTGTTCTGAGGAATTACGATGTATTTCTGCAGAATGACGAGTAAATGGACAATTTTTTTAATGATATTTTTTCCGGATTCACCTCGTATACTCGTGTTGTTTTAACTTCGTTGGATGCTCCGTGAAAAGGCGTTACAAGAATAACGGGACTTAAAAATAAAGTTGGCTTCGGGTCAACGAACCGGAAGATATCTTATCGACCTAATATGCCCGTAAATCATCGTCGCGTGAACGCGGCTCATACCTTTTCAGATTCGTACCTCTGCCGCGTCAGCGTCACAACGTTCCTCCTTTTTGCCGGGTCCTCCGGCTCCGTTCGAGTCGATCAACTTCGCTGACTCTGTCTTCCCGGCGTGAAAACTGGCGAACACGAACTCCGTGTTAGCCTCCTCGGTGGAAAACGGATGTGATTAGGCGAGGGAGCCGGGACTAGGCTTACGTGTGCATTCGAGATGCTGACTTAGCTGAAAATTCGAATCGAATAACAACAATGGCAGCCCCGTTTCCGGGCTCGTTCGCCTAACCGCGCCCAGCCAATCTCGATTCCTGATCGAAAACACGTACACCTCGTCCATTCGTCGTTGGACGTGTCCATTTTATCCGGGACTTATTCCAGCGCCGCGTCCTTCGCGCATCTGCCAGGAAATAAGGGTAACTAAGCTGATAAAGGGGAGACGAGAAGTGGTTCGACAATTGCTCTCTGCCACGAGTAGATCGCGGGGGGGATCGAGTGCTTGTTTAAATCCTAAACGCGGGATCTTTGCATAAATTGTGAAAATAATACTGTCGCATTCGCTTTTCCGGAATTCATTATTTGAACAGCACAGAGATATATTGTCTCAGGTGGGGTATTATTTCAGCATAATACCGGAACAATGTATTTCCGCGTAAATTCCTATCCGAGAGCAGAGACAAAATTCCGGGAGGTCCATATATATACTGGGATGTCGCTGTTCCCGGAACTTAGAGACACGGTCATCTCTTTGCACGAACTTTAATCCGGCGTATTTTTTCGTTTCATTCTTCTTTAACGAACTATTTAAAGTGCCGTCCGCTCGACGCGGTCCAAAGAAGTTAATTAAGGTCCCCTGGAAATGAGAGAAATTACATTGCCGTAAGAAAAGCTTCGGGTAATAAAGTAAAAATTACTTTCTGCATCCTCGTAGCCAGCGAGATACGTCCCCCGTTGTTTCGCGCGGCCAGCGATAACAGTTTCTTTTCACCACTTTGCGGTAAGAAAAACGACCCGGTCGAATGAATATCGGTGGCGGTAAAAACCTGGCCACGACCGTCGAAATGTCACTTAATACCGGGTTTCCATCGGTGCTCGCCGCGAGAATACGCCGCGCTCCGGAAGAAGCTCGCGACGGAGCTTAACGACGTTTGTACAAAAACAACGGCGCACCCACCGTATTGTTTGCCCTCCGCCCACGAGACGCATTCCTTTCTGGCAAGGGTCGCCGATCCCCGTAAGACGTTTATTTTCTTCTATTTACTTCGGCACAATGCGACCGCGGTTTATTCTTCTTGTAAATTTCGTTGTTCCAGTTTAATTTCGTCGAGCACACCGCGACGCGTTGTGAAGTAATGAGAAATCTCGCCACCGCCGCGTTTATGTAAAATAACGCTAGCCTTCGCCTTGCGTAACGCCCGTTCGAGCTTTTACGTACGTCTTTATACGCGCGGCTCCATTAACTCACCTCCGCCTGCGTACGGACGGTAGACTTATTTTTATGCGTTTCTTGCGAGGGGAAAACGTTATCGTTTTGGTTACGCAATTACTTTCGTGTAAAACGTAGGCCGTTCACGAGTCACAGCACATAATAGTCAAACGTATAATATAAATGTTGATGATTTATTGTAGAACAAGATTTTCGAGCTAGGATGAACTGAGAAATTATTTTTTTTAAGCGCGGACGTTTCGATTAGGCAATTACGCGGGGCCATGATTGGCAATTGAAATGAACGATAATTTCTCGAGGCGCGGGCGGTCATGGTTGAAATCGAATCTCTTGAATATACATGCCCCCGCTTGCGAATTCATAGAAGCTCCCGGGGATGTTCGCGTTTTATGGTTCGCGAGTACTCTCGCTCCGGTAGATGGAAAACGTCCGCGGAATATCTGCGCCGTTGCTCTCCCGCGATCGTGCAAGACGGCATATTCGACGCTCTCGAAACAAGACGGCCCGAGTAATCGTATTATCATAACTGCGCTACGTGTTTTCGCGACGCCTCGGTGACAATCGTAAAAGTGCCGCCCGATATTCGTTTTTCACTCTAATTCTTTTTTAACCGCCTCGGTGCGACGGACCGAGAACGGAACGATTATTTTTAATTTAACCCGGCCTCTCCCGCGCGGGACACGGGAAATTCTTTTATTCGTCACGCGAAGTCGCGGAAATTTTATACGGAAATAATTACGCGTCCCCGGGTCGAGTTACTCCGTAAATCTAATTCGACAACGTTGCGCTTTGGAAACTCGTGGCTAAACGAGCCTGACCCGTCGCAGAACGAACGACTCGTTCGTTTCATTTCGCGCTCTTGCATGCATCGTCGTTCAAGCATTAATTTTCAGAGAACTTCCAAAGACCAATTACGTTAGACCTTTCCGCAGTCTTCCGACCGGAAGCATCCGCTTATCAAACGTCTCGGTCAATTTTAATACAATAATTATTTCGACGTTAATCCAAATGTTTCCCAACCAAGGGGCCATCGACACGCGGATAACGAAGACATAATTGCGACGTAGCTGGATGAGAGCTCTCGGGCTCGTCTCCGGCGGAAAATTCGAGTCTCCCGAAAAAGGAGGCGTGGGCGGCGGGCGCAGGTTGGGCTAGGACCGTTCCGGAGTCGGTCGTTTCCTCTCTTCCCGTAGGTTTCATGGTTTGTAAATATTACCTGCCACGATACGTCTGCCGAGTTTATGCTCGGCTTGGTTGCCGCGTAACCGAGAGCCGTGTGATACGGGGTTGCTAGCAAGCCTGGAAAACCCGCGTTGCTGGAAGCGAGGGGCAGGCAGGCAGGCAGGCAGGCAGCGGGAGGCGGGGAGGGAGGGATGCGAACTCACCGAGTTTTTACCCCATTCTGGAGTCTGAGTGCCTCGCTCCGCTGACTCTCGAAACGGGTTGCACAGCCGGGTCCTACACACCACCACGTTTTCCTTTGCCCGACCCTCCAACCCCCTGTCTCTCTCCACGCCGCGCGGCTTTCTAGCTTTCCGTCCTTCGTTTACCCTCTTTCAGGCCTTCGCTCTCTCGCAACCTTTCAACCGAGACCATCAACTTACGTGGAATGCTAGTTCATGGCCGGATTGGGACAGCCTCGAGATTTTGGATAAGATACAGCGACCCTTTTAAGGGTTTCAAACCCCCCTCCTATCGGTTCGCGAATTTTTCTTCCGCCCCGATTAACGAGCACATGGCAGGGCGTTCCATCATTTCGATTTTACCACGAAAATCTAACTTATCGTTTAACCAGTTTCTCATCGATCATCAAGTATCGCATGATACATTTTATTAATTCTGTTTATAATGTTTATGATCTGCAGTGTACGATAAAAATGGTTAGAAATTTGTTAAGTTAGGTAATTACGACGATTCTTGCGGTTACACGTCTACAATTTTCATTATGATCCTTTCAGCGCGCTGTCTTTTAGACGTTCGAGATTTTTTAATTAAGAGTTGAAGCTCGCCTCATTTAGAGTCCGCGTTGGCTTTTATCCGGCTTTCAGCCGGAGCTACCGTAAAAGTTGATTCCTCGACGACGGGTATCAACATCTTGTAGTCGCAGTCGTTAACAAAGCCCCGACCGTATTTAATCCCAAGGTACGTATCGGGGCGCGCCCTCCATTTCGCCCTGCGCCCTCGTGCCACTTAACAACTTTTTTCTTCGCCGTTACCACCCGCATCCTTAGCGAACTCCTACCGCCGAGACAATTAAATCGCCAGGAACGGATTCGCAGGAATTCTCAAACGTAGAGAACCAAGCGAGAATCGCAGTTACGGCAAGCAAATGTATCACAATTATACGTTGGATGTACTCGACGAGACTTGATTTAAATCGGATTCATAGCGCGTCGCGTGGTTTTAAGCGAACCGCGTTATCAAATATCATAGTAGCAATTAAATTGCAGAAGCAACGGTATCCAATAAAACACGTTACCAGGCACGTTTTGAGAATTCCACGTTGAATTCCACGCAGCTTAGCCAAAGAATGCGAGGATCGGTGGTTAACGTTCTTAGTAGCGAGACAATAGTATATACACGTGAATCGCATTCTATTTGTTAGCTAGAAACAAGGTTCGTATCGATCGGACGAATTAATTTAGCCTTTCAGTGGTGAAACGACGAGTATGGCCACTCGGATTGTTGCCATTGAAAACGATCCGTTATATCGGACGGAAAAAAGCCGGCGGGAAAATATCTTTCACGGTGCGTCGGCCTCAGGCGACGCAAGACGGCTTTGCTCGAATTTCCCGTGCGTTATGCAATAACGAAATCGCGCGCAGCTTCCCCCGTTTAATTGATACGTCATGAATCTACGGGATGTGCCGGCGCGATGTACGCCTATGAAGTCTTGTTAACGAAGCCCTGGTTAACGTTATTACGTTTACCCGAGTTCGGTTATCGATATCGCGCAACGGGCAACAATGAAACGCACGGCTCATCGATTATTGCCAATGCGAAACGATCATTCGCAATTCTAATATAATTACTGTATCATTCATCTAGATCTGTCGAATGGACGTTCGCTGAAAGTACAAATATTTCTTTTAGTGCACCGACCCTGCACGAGGCATACTTTCGAGCGGCTGGTTGTTTGCGTGTTTCAGTGGTGAACCAGCGTTACGATCCGGAAGTTCAATGTCCCGGCGGTTTCCTCGGCAACAACGTGCTCATGCGATGCAACGTGCCCAGTTTCGTTCGTGACCACGTCACCATCACGTCTTGGCTTCAGGAGCCGTCGTTTAACATCTACCCGTCCACCATGGCCGGTAAGACTCGGAACTTAGCATTGTTCATAAAAATAAACAAATTTTACAGACGTACATTAGAAAGTTCGTGCTAATAGAAAATAGATATTGAATTAAATTTTTGCAAACAATTTTGCTACGAATTTCTATAAATATTCGAATAATATACGCGCGAGATTGGGAATACTATTGGACGATTTGCACCTATCGCGCTTCGGACAAAGGGCATGGAAGACAGCATGCTGCAACGCGCAAAGTTTTCACCGGTGAGTCCGTTAACGAGGGAAACTCCATTAATTATGGAGAAGTTCGATCAAGGTGGTGTATACCCGTTCTGAATGCGCTTGTGATAATCCAGACGGATTTGTTAATACACTCATCAATAAGACAATCGATATGGACGGTCCAAACTTTGCTCGTTGCGCTCCGCGCGGGTTCAGAGTTGAACGAACTCGAGGAACGATTTTTATTTACACGGAAAAACTTACAATTTTTATTCCCATTAACTTTTGAGTTTCATATCGAACTTTTAAAAAATTCAGGGAATTTTTTTGTTCTGCAATTGGAACGCTTTTTATGTGATTTCAATTTGAGAACAGCGACAGTGTTTGGTGCCTTGATAACCGTGACGTATGTTTCTGTTTGCAGACGGTAAGTATCACATGTTGTCAACCGGGGAGCTGATGATACTGAATATCACGCGGGAGGACGCGGAGCGGACTTATCGGTGCAGGACGCATCATCGCCTGACTCAGGAAACGGTCGTCAGCAGCAACGTCGGCAGGCTTCAATTGACTGGTGAGTGCATTAAAATCCGCTTTGCTCCGACCAACGACGTAACTCGCATTCATCCTCGTTCCCGTCTCTAGATTGCATTTTAAAATTCATAACAGAGTTCGCATGCATCGAACTTGATTAATGTACAGAAGTTCACCACGCCAGTTTTTCCTATTTCAATTTACGAGCTTGAAAATGTTTCCCGTCTTTCAGAGGTAATCTACATCCAGGCTTCAAAGACTGTTTACTGTTTAGACATACTTTTTGAAGGCATCAAGAACTTAGTTATTTAGTAACAGCCGAGCAAACAACGCTCGGTTTATTAACAAACGTCATCAGGGAAAGGAGAAGTCTGACACGAGCAGAAAATGTTTTTTTCCCCCGGAACAAAGCTCGGTAAACAGCGAAAAAGCGTGGAGAGAAGAACGTGCAAGAAAGGAAACAATATTTCCAGTCCGTTAACACATTTTCTTCCTACATTTCCCCTGTCTATCTCCGCGAAACACATCGAAGCTCCTTCCCTCAGTTAATAAAGTTTTAATACGTAGCCGGGGAGATTTTAGCGAGAACCGGGATTATTAATAAGAGTATCGAAGGGAGAGGGGAATGAGAGGATATCGGCGGGTAGAACTTTCGCCTCTTCCGTCTCGAGAGGAACTTATTATCACAGACCGTCGCGATATTTACAAATTCCTCGCTGGGACTGTTGAATATTTATGAGCCGAGCCACTTTCCGAGCGTCAGATGCTGCGGATACCGTTCTTCGATTCCGTTCACGAGCGTCTTCCGGCGATCGTTTATCGGGGCCACGAGGATTCGGGCTGATCCGATTCTAGTGCGCGTGATTCCGTAATTGGACAACGGCTAAGACACTCGACGTATCCGGAATCGAGAATCGAATGCCATTCCCTTCCACCAAGACTGCAAGATGTTGGTTATTAAATTTGTTTTTTAATTCCGAACGGGAGGAGAATGAAAAATAGAAGCGGCGGAGGTTGCAGAGGAAACTCAATTTTGCTTCGCCGTTGGCTCGCCCGGCTACGGATACGTTCGATTTCAATTAAATGTTTGCTTTGCCATCGCGCGAATAACCGTGCGCTTTCTCTCTGTCAATTATTACTGTTGAAAAAACGTCGCGCAAGCGCCACCGGGTAAAAGAAAATACGCGGGAAAGCGTATTGTTGTACCTCCGGCTGCGTATCATCGATTGTCCCTGCTTTGTTGCAGGCAGAAATTGCTGCCGGGCTTTTTTCGCGAGAGCGCGCCCAAAATTGTCGGCGCCTCTCTCCTGCTGATTCTCCCTTTCAAGTAACAAAACGATCAATCAAAAGCATTTATCGACTTTCATTAATGCTACATCAATTCGTTCATTTTATTTTATCAATTATGCGTTAAACGGTAGAACACGATCAAATAAGCGTTGTGTGCCTGTATTCTCTCCCGGAGGGGTTTGCGTGAAAGTGCAAACGCCGTGTCTCGGGAGAGCAAACACGTCGTTGTATATTACACGATAAACCGAGTTCCACCCCTCGGACACGCACGATCGAACGCGATTCGATATGATCGATCGACGCCAGATCGAACGGGGGGGTGTGTGGTGGTAGGAAGGAAAGAGCTTACATCGAAGTTCAGGTTCATTAACGGTACGCAATTAGTAGCCTTATTTCGCGCGGGACACTTGCTGCCGATTTAATATAATCGGAAATCGTTCTTGCCAACAGGATTCGGTTACAAAAGAACGAAAGCAATGTCCGCAAACTCTGATAGGAGCGATATCGCCTATTAATGTTTGGATAAATGAACACGAATCGGATTAGAGTTGGATATTTCCAAAAAAAGATATTAAATCGATGATCCCTGTTCCTTCGGATTTATTTATCGTAATTCGAGTTTGATGCACGGTTCGCTGAAATCGAACGACGTCGAAGGGGTTAATGAGGCATCGGATGATCGGCGGCCGATCAAAGTAAAAATTCTCTTAGCCTGTTAATTGCCAGGCTCGGCGCAGCGATCGAGAGGCGGTATGAAAGTCGCGTTTCACAGCCCGTCGTCACTTGTTATGCCCTGGCATCACTTGTTACCTAGGCAATCCGCCGCCGCGTTACGTCTGCTTTGGGGGTTAGAAGCGCGACGACGGGGAAGAAAAGGGAAAATACGGAGGCGGAAATACGTCGGAGGAGAAGGAGGAGGCGGGAGAGGAAAGGGGAAAAATCTCCACTCGAGCCGGGCTAACTAATGATGCTTCTCTTCACGTGCCACACCTACCCTCCAGATTCATGCTGAAACCTCAGACGTGCCTATACACGATGCGTGCAGAGAGGAAGAAAAAAAAACGCTCAAGACATTCTGCACGTTCTTCGCTACCACTTTTCCTCCACCACGTGACCGATCCTCCACGTAGGAAGCGTCATAATTCATCGCTCGTTTCCCTTATTCGCGTTTTTCTTCGCTCCCCCATTTTCCCTGCTTCGTACCGCTCATTTCCCTTCGGTTTTTTTTTTTTTTCCTCCCAATCCTGTCATTCACGTCGATAAGTCCACGCAGACCGAGGAATAATTAATATACGGCGGTTTAGCCGGATGCGCCGGAACCCGTAATCACGGTGGTAAACGAAAACGGAGGTGAAAATTGAGTTTGCGCTAACGGCGTCTAGCAGGCATTTCAAGCTGTTTCATTTTTAATTATTATTTAACGTTATTATACCGGCGTGACAATTATTACGTGCCGGAGATAATACAACGGCGGCGGACGTTTAAACAATCGCTTAATTAAAAGGGGGATAATCTGTTCATTCTAAATGTCTTTCATTATCATTTATGTTAAACAAATTCTCCATGGTGTTTAAATTATGAACTTACCATGTTAAACGAAATCGAACGCACTGTCATGCACGTGAAAAAATTATACTAAAAATTGGAGAACACATCGGACTAAAAGCTTTGGAGCCCACATGATGAAATTTCAACGATAGCATTTAACGATACACAGGGAAAATTCAAACGGGTTGAATCGACACCGCCGGGGGCGAGGCTGTTTGCGATTCTCGTGCGTCATCCGGTGAGATTTTGTTTTAAATGCTACAGAGGAATAGCTCCCAGGCAATGGTTTATCGACGAACAAATTTTCTCGGATAGGCATGTACCTAAACCAGAAGCAATATTATTTGCAATTGTTTCGAGTTTTTGGTGACTCCGTCTAAAAAGCGATTATTAGTCAGGAAACAGGATGCTTACCGTGCAAGTATCGCATGGCTGTTAGCTCTACCTACACTGGCCCAACATTTGTTTACAATAACCGCGCTCCTTGTTTAACTTGCGACTGTGTACCGTGTACGGCCAATGGACATTGCAGCGAGTTTGCAGAACGTACATTGTGTATTCTTCTCCAAGAATTTTCTTGTTCATTAAACTTGTCTTTTCAATTATAATAACTTGGGAGTGTAACAGAAATATACAATCGCAGACACCGTGGCTTTATATACATATTTTAATCTCGTGGTAATCAGAAAAATTCAGTTTGTGAACGCGAGTGGAATCCTCGGTTGGCGTTGAAATCTGGCGAAAATAGGAGGCGAACATCTGTCACGAATCCTCGAAGCTCATTCCTCCACGGCGTTCGTACCAGCGCGTAATAAAAGCCGCCTCGAGGCGGTATAGAAATTTATGCTAAGCGCACTTACATACTTATGAACTTAATAATGGAGTTCCAGGGTGCGCGCGCGATCGTTTGCATATTCCCGGACAGTCGTCCATCGTCGCGACGCCTCCGCCCCGTTTAGAATACACCAAATTAACCGAAAGCTCGCGCTACGTACACCGGTTTCGCCCGAGTAACGAGCAAACTTTTCGGTGCACGGAACATTTTCGAAACGCGTAACAAACTTTATCGTTGTGAAACAGTTTTTCAGGACCGAACCGCTTTCATCGATGCTGTCAATAACAATGTATCAGATGTAATCGATCCGTTGATTCGCAAGGGTTCTGCTTACTCTGATTTAAAAGTTTTAAAGCATTTAAACAAAATTGTAATAAAACCTACTTCACTGTCAGAAACATATTAAATATGGTCTTACAAGAACTGATTCAGTAATGCGTTTTGCAATATGTTCTGATTTATGAATGTGTACGTACATTAGCATCAGACAAGAATCTGCGGGTGACACATCATGTTTCCTTTCTTGCCTTGATGCGTTTCGCTTATCGTATTAACAGCCTCGGTATACTTCTCAGCGGAGCATCTGAAGTGATGCACTCCTGTCAGTAACACGAGAGTTAAATTGCCTCCTTGGACATGTTTGCGGGTCGACACTATTACAGAATTTCGAAACCATGGTGCTGGCGAACGCAGTCAGGTCGAATTTTTTTGGAACCGAGCTAATGATCCCGTGAGGAACACATCGCTTTAATTACATCACGGTCTCCCATTGTTTTCGCCGCAAACGCAACAGCTTTTGTCCTAATATTCATTATTTTGGCCGAGCTCGTTCCGCATCGCTAATTAAGCTGTGAATGAAATAAATTCCATGTAGCTGGTTCTTTTGAAATTCGATGGTACATTGATCTCGAGGGTGTTGCGATCTGAAATTCTTGTCTGTCTCTTCACGGCACGGCACGCTCAGACGAGCCACTATCTGCGGCTATAATTTTCCATTAAACGTCGGCCCGATGCGTGCACCCCGGATACAGCCCCTTCCTTTCGCCTTCTTCTTCTCCTTCCTCGTCTTCTGTCTCTGCTCCTTCGCTAGGCTCCTTTGTTCCTTTTTCAGCTGGCGGCTATTTATGACACGCCGTGGAAAACATTTCCCGTATATCATGGAACAAACTTACATGAACTCGTCCTGAGGGAGGCGGCGGGCGGCTGCCACAAAGTAACCCGGAGCTGTACGTGTGCGCGTGCACCGGGAAGCCCGTAGGATCTCGGAGGATGTATCTCCACCGCCGCGCTTCCTACTCTTCCTTCCTCGGACCAACCCCCTCCTTTGTTAAATCTCCAGCGATATTGTCACTATCAATTTTCCAAACAATGTAATCCAATACCCGCACCGGAGGCTCTTTCCGTTATTTCTCACGTATCGTTTCTAAGCCGTTCGACGGGAACCTCGCGATAGAGAATTTCGTTTCGCAATTTACAGCAACGTCCGCTTTTAATCCCGGCCCTGTTTTATTAAACCGGCGTGAGCCGCTCCTTCAATTTCGTCGACTGTCAGAATATATTATACGTACGTCGGGGAAAAACTGGCGCGAACTCGTCTGGAAAAAGGGGGCGACGGCGGGAGGTTTAGATATTTCCGGCATTGTCCGAAACTTTTCCTCGAGTAATGTTCACCGGGCAGGAAGAGAAATATTTCTTGATTGTTTCACGCGTTGCCTTTGTTCGGTGCACGTTGTCGTTCGAGGATTTATACCTCCCTTCAGGAGTCCTATTTCTTTTTTTCTTTCTGGTTCCAGAGATACGGAGCACCATGCCGCCGATGATAAACGAGAAGGTGGTTTATATGTCGTCGCGGCTGAAAGACACCGTTGTGATACCCTGCGTCGCGTACGGCAATCCAACGCCTGCTAACAGGTAAGGGATTTCCACGAATTTGCACGCCGAAACTTATCCGATCGAACCGCGACACGCTGACTGATGCGCTCAGAAACTGAAATTCGATACTCCGAGACAGAACTTGTCTCCGTTCTGCAGCGAGCAACCGATAAGCACCGAAGTTTAGAAGCTCTTCTTGTCTTTACACATCTTGTTTTACTTATCTTGATTACAGGAAACATCTTCCTTTGTCGGATGAAACGCAGTTCCGCTGTCTGTCGTTTAACTCTCGAGATACAAACTTTCCTTGTTCAAGTCTGAAAGTGTGCCATTCCATTAAAAAGGATAAAAAGGAAAACTCTCGTAGTTTCAAAGGGGACGGGCAGAAATTATATCGGGCGTACCATTTTCTTGTAACCAAGAACAAAATGCACTCTCCGTTTCGGAACGCGTTCTTGCACAAAAAGAAATTCACTTTGCTCCGATAAAGCAACAACGCCGGAAAAGAGTTTCACCCGCGATGCGACGCAACTTCCGCGAAACGGTCCTCGGCTCGCTTACTTGCCAAATAGTTTCCCGATACAACGCGGGAGTGCAGTCGACGTGCATCGGGCAAGTTTAATTGGCTGTGGGACTATCTCGCGTGAAAAATATTCTCATCGAAACTCGAATCTCGACTCTCAGAATTCTTTCTTTGTATATCGTGACGCTCCTCGCGATTTCATTCACCCCTCGTTTAAATTCGATGCAATTAGATTATTGGATGACGAAGTACTTTATCATTATTGACATAGTTCACTCACTGACAAAACCTTTGACCTAAGTTAAAGCGTTTTTACTCATCTTGACCTCTGACCCTATCTATTCATCCTCGGGGCAATATTTCTACTCCTGCTCTATTTTGGCCATTGAACTTCGATTGTTCATAGCGACTATTTATAAGTATAGCCAAAATTGTACAGTAGACAAATTTCTGAAGTATTTGGCTGCATGCAGAATTACACCGTCTAATAAAGTTCTGCAGTTTCAACTTAAGTGTTGTATTTAATTTCAAACTTGGAGTTCAACAAGATAACAAACAGTTTTTTATCTTTTGTTATTATAATTTATTAATGTGGAAAGCAATAATATTGTTGGGAGAGTAAACTGAAGAGCGATCTGATTAACAATACATTCGGCTGCGAATTATGTTTGAATTTCCGGCTTTTATACGAGCTTTCGTTAAATTATTGATAGCAAGCCTTCGAACGTGGATTGTAACTATGTATTATTAAAATCTCTGTTTCCTGCAAATACTTCGCACCACCACGCAAGTGGAGTAGTCCAGCATTAGTCAGACGTAGAAAAGGAATACACGTTGAAGCGTGACAAAAATGATTCGTTTATTCAGCCAATATTAATAGCAGTCGATTGGTATGCGACTCGCGAGTTACGAACTCCGTCTCGGAACTTGTAATCTTCCGAATCCAATAAATCGAAGCAAGGAATGAAACGAGCGGGTAATCGAGCCCGCGACAAAGGGGCCGCAAACGAAGCACGCGAAATGATAGTTGGGATGAACTTTCTCGTTTTGCTCTTATGGAAATAAAGAGACGGTACAAAGAGGCGTATTAGAATGTTAATGCATTTACTTATTCGAATGCGTGGCTTCAAGTGCAAAGCAGGACGTCACTCCTGTGGCAACAACGAGCTAGTTAAACTTTAAACGATGTTGGATGACTAAAATGTTTTCCTCCTAGTTATCTCTAGTTTTAAGAAGCGTATTGTAAAGTTAGTCACTAAGGTCAAAATCCACCCTGAGTCACAGGGTTAGAAGTGACCCTCCCCTTCCTATAGCTAGGATATATATATATATATATATATATATCCGCCGAATCCTAAGACAGCAGATTCAGTCTGGACTCGATACTAACCGCATTTGTACTGAATTCCTCTACGTTGTGCAGTATTTTGGAAATATAGTGTTACACTCAACCGAGCCTAGTTTCTTTACGAATCCTGAACACAATAACGAAGGCGCGAAGGAAAAACAGATTTCTAACATGTTTTATACATTGCGTCGCAAAATCATCGCGTTGTCTCTCATTCTAAAAATGTCCGTGCGCAGAATCGCACGATTGGTATCAAGTCTACCGACAGAAGGCATAAGGAATCCGATAGGCTTTATTAACAATTCCCCGTTACCGCGGATGTTTGACAGGTGTAATCAAGTTCGTTGATCAAAGCCTGGCAAAGGCAGAGTTAATCGATATTCAACGCACGTGGGAAACAAGGCGATGGTTGCTTCGAAGGAGTTTGCCAATTGACATCGTCTCATCGACACTTATTTTATCAATATCAAATGTTCATCTCCTATTAAATTTAACATTAACGAAACAATCGTCGGTGCCATAATCTCGGAGATTCGGTGATCAATTCGTAGAAAGTGATGCGCGCACGGCACACACGCGTGAATCCGTGGAAGGCAGCGAAGGTATATAGACGTTAGGGGGCGTGGGTATGGGTAGCGCAAACAAACCGACCGCTGATTACAGAGACTGCTTCTGACAGGCCATCAAATATTCCGCATTTACGTGTACGTCACTGAGTACCGTGGTACCTCTGTTCGCCGTCTCTCTCCGCGCCTCTGTCCCACGTGTATAGTCTCTCTGCCGGCTCTTCCGCGGCTTGACTGAGTTGACGGAGTGTACGGTAAAGAGAGAAAGAGACGCCGGTAAAGAATAAGCAAGTAGATCGGAGTGAGAAATACGGGGCTGTAGGATGAGAGAGGACTGGAAGGGGTCTGAGGGTTTGCCAGCGCCGGGCTTCCATCTCTCGCACACCCACCGTCGCATCCTATCTCCTTCCCTCGCCAATTTCCCTCCGTAAATTCGATTATCTATAGGTACACTCCTCGTCCTCTCTACACCCGGCCACCCCGGCGACTCTTGAACCTCATTCCGCGCCACGTACCTTATATCCTGCTCGCACTTCCAAGAGGCTGCGACGCTTTTCGAAACTGCGGCACATATGTACGCCGGACGGAGAAAGATAGAGGTCAATCACCAGGGGAAGATAGACCGCGAGGCCGAGATCATTTTTGGACGAAGTTAGAGTAGGCGTTCCCCTGGGACGCTACCTTAGCCGAGATTGTCGGGAAATATTTGAGAACCTGCGGAGGCCGGCCTAGATTCGTCGAGGAAAATTTCCAGGTTTTTCTCGGTCGGGACCGGGCGATCTTCGATTTTGCGAGGTCACGTCCGCCTCGGAGAAACGAACGGTAAAAAGGAGCCACGGTTACCTTTATCCCACGTTCCAACGTAGCGAGGCAACAAGACTACTCTAAAAATAATATCTATCGGGGAAAGACAAATGGAGCAATCGTGAACGGAACGGGTAAAATCAATAGCGGCCCGTAACTGTAAAACATTATTTTCAAATTTCGTTTTGCTTTGCGCAACGAAAATATTTCTTCTCACATGCACACGGTTTTAGACAGAGAACGCTTTGAGGGCTTGTACGTGGTTACGTGAACGTCGATTAGTTTCACGAATCGAAACTGCAGTTTAGTGCGCCGAAGACGGGGTCAAAGATCGCGCGTGCCCGCGAAAAGATCGATTCAATTACCCCGTCAGCGATGCTTTAAATCCCGAAGCATTTCCCGTCGGGTATTTGCATACGGCTCGCGAAACGAAACGCGTACGCTCGTTTCTTTTATTTAAAGATCCCAGCTGTATTAACGATTTTCGTCTGTATCCGGCAGAGCCACGTTTATCCATCTGCTTGTTCAAGCGGCAGTGTTTTGAAAGCGTGCCAGTACACCCAGCCGCGATGCATACGTGCACACGGCCTCTGCGAGGGTTTCGCAAAAGGGTGGAAGAGAGAGAGAGAGAGGGAGAGAGAGAGGGATCGAGAGAAAGATGAGAAAAGGGGCGGGGGGTTAACGGGAACGTATGGGTGTAGCGAGTAGCACAATTCACGGCCGTGCTCTGTGTATTCAGTCTTCCCAATGAAACAGTTGTTATTTTGTGGTTGGCGAGTGCACTAGAGAGATACACCGCCGGGATGGAAAAGGCTCGCTCGGATAGCGAACCAAGCAATATCGCCGCACGCCGCCTCTGTCCGCAGCCGCTCGGTATTTTTGCACCGCGGGTTGAATCTTGAGCAACGATCGAATGTAATGTAACGCTGTATATCGCGGCGAGACAGCCGGATGGTTGGGCTGAGCGTTACAATTCATCGAACTAGGCCAGTCAGTGGAGCTGCCGTACGCTCCGGTTGACAGTAGTATATCCCATTCGCCGTCAGACGCGCGCTCGCACGGAAAATCTTGCGGCATGCCGTGCTCGTTGTTTCAGTCTTTCAGTCTATCGAGCAGATGAGTACAATGCACTGAACTTAACCACATAGTTTCACGCCAAAGCCGATGCCTTTTATTCTCTGCTTTTAAGAATCGTTTTTTTTTTTTTTTAAATCCGGTCTTAATAAATAATTCTCGTAATTGATGGGTCGCGAACGTTAGATAGGAATGCGTTCGAATTTAAGGAATTCTAGGACAGATATAAGAGCCAGGAAATAAACTAGCGTCAAGAGAAACGTTTGCAGGAATTTACGTTAGCCCGGTTGGATTGTATCGGCGGTATCTAAAATCGAGGGTTGGATTGCGTCGTCGCGCCGTAACGCCGTTTCTTTATGATTCGCGGCAAGACTCGTTTTTTACGATTCCAATTCGATTCGAAAATCGTTTTTCTTTCGGTTGCAGGTGGTATTACACGAGGAACCAGAGAGAGGAGCCGATCGAGGATTCGTCCGGGCGTTACTTGGTGAAAGACGGTTCGTTGATCATACAAGGCGTCCAAGAGAGCGACGCCGGATCGTATACGTGCACCGCTAGTAATTCCGAGGGCAGCGAGTCCATGGAAGTCAGGTTAACGGTGTCCGCGCCATTGAGCGTGCACGTTCAACCGTCTATTCAGACCGTCGATCTTGGGAAGGCCGCTCATTTGGTAATTGACGATTTCCATGACCGAGCTCGTCACGGTGATCAGACGCGTTACCGAGAATAGATCAAATTAGCTGGAACGAAAGCCATTCCCGTGATTCTTCCCGCGGAATATTGTTCTGTATCAAATTTAAAATTCACCCGGTCGTATTCATAAAAATCAAAGTTCATACACCGGGAAATAGCATCCGAGCCATTTGCTGCGATCCGCGTAGCCGGTGGTAATCCGATTTTTACGACGCACGGGAAGCAAAGCCGGTTTTCGAGCCTGCATCTTGCAATCTTGTTTTCGAACGTGGTAGGAAGGACGCGGGGAGAAGAAAGGGCTCGTACGACGCGCGGCCACGGTTCTCATCAGTCCCTTTTCTCTAAACTGCTTTTCAGACGTGCAGCGCAAGTGGATTTCCGCAGGCGGCGCTGTACTGGCTGAAGGACGGTCAGCCATTGAGGACGGGCGCCCGCATAAGGGCGGTTTCCAGGGAGCGTATTTCCGTGATGTCGGTTGCACGGGAGGATCGCGGCATGTACCAGTGCTTTGTGAGGAACGAGTATGAAATGGCTCAAGGAATTGCGGAATTGCGCCTGGGCGGTGAGTCTTTGTTTGGTTAGCGTTTACGTTCCTACGCGTCGCGTGGCCGTAGGGGAAATGAAAGGTTGGAAAGATAGTGTAACCTTAGGAACCACCCGGCGTCCCTTATCATCGGTAATCTTGGCGGAACGGCGCGGATCGTTTTATTAAATCGTCGCCGAGCGTCGTTCCAACGGATATTCAAGATTACCCGTTTAATTCTGTCCGCGTGCTACATAATCTTCTTTTTCTTGGTGGAAGACAGTGCACCGCTCCGGCTTCTTCGTAATATCCATTATACCATTTAAACGATTTTAAGTACAACCCCTCTTCCATCCCGGGATAGACACAGTTTAACGGACGCTCCGCGAAATGAAACGTTTAAGACACTCCGGCGTGGCATCTAACGACATCGTCGCTGGCAGCTTTCAATTACTTCCTCGTCTTCTCGCTGAACTTACTCGTTAAATCCTGGCGACGAAATTTACGCCTCTGACCAGGAACCCTGCGAATTGGATCACCCGCGAGAGATCGAGAAACCACTTTGGCCCCGGGAATGTTTTCCCTTCTATCTCTACTTTTTTTTTCCCTTCCCCTTTCGCCTTGGCCGGCGATAGAGAAAACGTGGCCCGATGTTTGCAAGACAGGAACGACGAGACGGGGGGGATGGTTTGGCACGACGCGGAGCGACGAGAGGAGTCGGGGAGGGCTTGTTTGTCGAGCGAATGGTTCCGCTGTGATAGGTTGCCGGTGGTTAATGCAGTGGAACTCTTCCCTATACGATCCATTCCAGGTTTGCGTGCCACTCCATCGTAACGCGTTTTCCATCACGGAGCCGCGCAGCTTTTCCTCTGGGGAAGTACGTGCCATTTTTGCACGAAAATGGCCACATCGCTTTCCGAATCGTGCCTCGACCACTGAAATCGGTGTGCTTGCCGTCCGTTAATCGCGCCCGTTCGATCTCCCACGCTTTTAATTATGGACTCCCCGTCTGATCACGTACGGTTCTCGAGATTTCGGCTCCTCGGCCATCTTCTCTCATTATTTCACCGATGCGTGAAAACACGGAAATTATTCAGATATTTTATACGGTCACATATTCCGCCTCCGAGACACGACGTCTAAACTCAGGGTTGTAAGTGTAAAGAAGAGTTTCGCCCTAGAAAACGCACTTCCTCGTCCATCAGCAGCCGACAATAAAGCGTGTCAAGCGATCACAATCGACCGTTTGTGCACGAGCTGCATTTCCCGCTCGAGATACATGTACTCCATTTGCTTGATGCTTTTCCGCGGCCCGATCGCGTGTTATTTCGATGTAAAACAGCCGCCTTGTTTTTTCTCGCTTTCCATTCACTTCCTCGTATCAGTTCTCTCGTCATATTTCGACCGGTGCGCTTTTTCCATTAACCTGCGCCCGGCCGCACGCGTGGGCAAGAGAAAGAGAAGGAGAGAGAGAGAGAGAGAGAGAGAGAGAGAGAGGGGGAGGATCGTGGCACCGAAGATTTCAATTAAAACACTTTTACCAAGCCAGATTGCCCTCTGTCCGTTCAGTGATTTCGCGGCCGACTTCAACCCTTTTGCGACGTTCAACTGCCCTACCGCTCGCCACATTCTCCCATCGTGACACCACGCGCCTCAGGCAACGTGATTCCTGCATGAAAATGGCCATATTAATGCCCCATCGAGAAGTACTCGAATTTCCCTGCCAGCTCAATTTTCCACCTATTTTTGTTCTCGAAAATTGTAACCTTGGAATAAACGCGATTGCTAGTTGAATTTTTAACAGATATTCGTCACTTGTGAATCAGTTAATATTTCAGCATCAGACGTAATTTTTTTCATGAAACTTCATCTGCTACATCGATTTAAACTAAATTTTCTATCTTAGAATCGTAATTGAATGACACGGTCCTCTCCATGCTCCTCTTTTCTTCTCCGGATCAAGGAACTATCTCCTTTCCTGTCGCAACCCTTTTTGTAGTACAGTAATTGAGGACCCGAAGGGGATAGGGTTCGCTATAGAAACAAGAACGCGAGCAAATAACGGTAATGGATTCAACCTTTGAACGCTTCACCCGCAATTGCATCGGGTCGCGATAACTTGTCCGACAGACGCGTTAAGCGACTTTTCATTTAGTTTCCTACCGAGATCCCCCTTTATCTCGTTAATACCGTTCCAAGATTTAATGCAGTCAAACTTTCGAATATTATCTGCCATTATCTACAGAATAAAATATATTTTAATCGGTTTGGCGATTGTCTGATACGTTATGAATTTTCTAGCGTGACGTATTTAATAGAAGAAGCTTCGTACAAAATAAAATATAACAAAGTGTTCAGTTTGACTGTATTGAAGGCAATTGAAACGGTTGATGTTTGATACATGAATTTTCTGGTGTGACACACTTAATAGAGGTTCGGATCTCAAGAGCGCGACTACTTGCGGCTAGTAGCATCGTGTCACGTCCTCTCTTTGTCGTCCGTAGCTGACGTGCCTTCTTCCCTGACGTATCTATGACGCATAATAAATAGACGCAGCCTAGAGCTCTGCAGCGAGCTAGATCGTGCCCGGCCGGCATGCAAAGCATCGGCAAAACCGCAGGAATCTCGTTAGCGTATGCAAATCCGGGGTGCCGGTACTAACTATCCCATCGTGTGCTGCGGCCGATCCCCACCTAATGTACACTGTATGCGTTGCAGCTTAGAAATCATGAGAAGAATCCTAACGACGAGGTTCCTCCAAAAATTGATAGTTCTATCGATTGGCTTTAACACGATAATTGTAAAGTGTCTCAGCCTCGTGAAAATCGATACAAGCTACATTTCATTGCTACTTTAAGGATGTGTAAACTATATACTGAAACGATGCTAGCATGTCGAATTTGTTATTATAGATGTCTATTATTACACCTACAACGTTTATTTGAAGCATTCTTCGAAATTTTGACAAAAAAAAAATTTTCGATTTTTCCGAGATTTTTCCAAGGGGTACCCCTTCAGATTTTGCGAAATTTTCATTTTTTGCCCATAACTCCCAAACCGTTCGAGATACGGGAAAATTGCATCAGATCTTTTTTGTAGAGGACGACGAGATCTACAATTTCCATGTAAAAATATTTCGCTAGCTTCAACAGTTTACGAGTAATTTGCAAAAAACTGTTTTTTCGTTTTTCGTCTATAACTCGTAAACTATTAACGCTAGCGAAAAGTTTTTGTACAGAAATTGTAGATCTCGTCATCCTCTACAAGAAAGGTCCTATGCAATTTTCCCGTATCTCCANATGTTTTAAACTTTTGACAGAGACTTTACGACTCATACAACCTTAACTTTATTTACGCAGCCTGAATCTATAGAGAAATTCGTGATTGGATGGCTATAAAGAAATCCATTTAATAAATTCTGCAATGCTGGCTGCCACGTAATGAAATCTTGTTCCGCCGAAGGGATGGACCTTAATTTAAGCCGTAAATGAAGAAATTTGTTCTCCTTTAAGTAGCGGGGGATCAAGTTTCTCTCGGAGACGCACCGGTCGCCTCGCGGATTTTTAATTTAAAGTGCAACAACCGCCGACGCTGGGCGCCCATGAGTACTGGTTATATTTGACGACAGCCTCGGCTATTATTTGCACGGCGATCCTCGTTTTCTTTCCAGGCGAACGATAAACAAGCGGTCTACCCTGTTAACGTTTCATTAACATCGGCCTCGTTCGCTGAACCGGCGCTACTGCCACGCAAAAATGTTTCACGTTAACAGCACGACTTCCTACGGATCAATTTAAACGAAATTGAAAAATATTTGTTCCTTAAAATGTGCAATTTAATCTTTCGTTTTGTTCCCCCTTATTTTAATGCTTGTTTCGTAGGACTAACAAAGAAGAGTGTTTCAGAGATCAGTCAGGAGGTACTTGCAGTCGCTTCGCAAACGACTACGAAGGCGGAATAACCAGACTAATTGGACAGACGCGATTGTTAATTTACTAATAGCTTCCTTGGTCCGGCAGTCTTTTAATTACACGCGAGGACGCTTGCGCGCCGGCCTTCATTTCGAATTTTCATTACGAAGTTCTCGGGTGCAGCTGGTTGAAACACTATCACCGTTTCCTGTGCCGGACCAAGTCTATAACTTTGTCACTCGGAATATCTAACGTCGCGGACAAACCCGATACAAACGTTGTCACCACATAATTACTCGCAGCGAACTTCTCTCGATCCGAAAACCACTTCTCGTTAGATTTGCAAGTTTAAAAAACGCGTTCTCGGAAGCTTTTTCAAAATTCAAAATGTGTATCAGGGATTTGAGCAGGGGCGGGTGAGGTGGCGTGAAGGTTGTCGCCCGATATTTCCTTCGCATAGTTTTAGCACACTTGTTCAGCGGAAGGACGGGCGACGAGCAGGAAAGAGACGGGGCCACGCGAGAATCACGGTATGCATACGAAAAGTTGGAGGAAAGTCGGCTGTTATTTCGTAGCCGACGTGCTCGCGCTTATGAAGTTCATGAATTCATTACCGGGCGGGCTCGTTACGCGCGGCGCGTTCATTTAGAGCCCTCCTGGAACTGGAACGCGTGCCTGCTCGCGGTTATTTTCAATGTTTCTTCGTTAAGTCTCGCCACTCTTAATCCCCGGGATCCATTAATCATCGAGCCAATTATTTAACGCGAAATCCTCGCGCTTATTAAACGCCGTTTATGCACTACTGACACAAGTTTCGGAGAGCCACTCAGGAATCCATCTTTCATGTACCACGAGCGTCCTCACGAATTTTTTATTTCATATTTGATTTTGCGAAAATAATTGGAGCAGTCAAAGATAAATCCTGAGAACGTCAGTGGAAATTCTAATCTGAGCGACGTTAGAGAAAACTAGCACGGCTCTTTGACTTCATCGCTCTCGCCCGGAGCAATCTCGATCGGAGTTAAGTTAGATCGAGCGTCGAGTCTATCTCGTAAATAAACAAGCGGATATTGGCGTAGAGACAGAAGCGGGTGGTAATTAGCGAAGGAAATTCCGGGTTCGATCGGAAGGGGAGAGTAGCTCGTTCAGACAGATTCCAGGGGATAGGGTGGGAAAAGAAAGGAAAGGAAAGGAGAGCGTGTCGGTATTCCGATGGTATTCGTAATCCGAGCGTAACGTCTGTTAACAGAGATCGCGCCGCAGCTGGTCTACAGGTTTATCGAACAGACAATGCAGACCGGTCCATCGGTTTCTCTGAAATGCAGCGCCGCGGGTAATCCGACGCCGCAAATTTCCTGGCTGCTGGATGGATTTCCGCTTCCGCAAAACGACAGGCTCTTGATTGGCCAGTACGTGACCGTGTACGGCGACGTAATATCGCACGTGAACATATCGTCGGTGAAATCCGAAGACGGGGGCGAGTACGAGTGCATCGCTAGCAGCCGTGCCGGCGAGGCCAGACACTCGGCGAGGCTCAATATTTACGGTGAGTACTCGAGAGTGCAAGACCAGCGAAAGAGGGGAACTCAGTTAAGAAGGAGAATCGTCGGTGTCGATTGAAATTGACTGGAAACCCGCGGGAATATTACGTCCCCTCTCTAGTCCTCGAATCAATATCGACGTTCTCTGTCATTAAACATCTCACAGGCTGGTTAATTAAAAACTGCGGCCTTTTGTTCTACGGATTGAATAAAGTTTCGTTCGAATTTCTTGAATTTACAAAGTTTCAAGACGCCGGAATATTACGCGTCTTTTATTATTTCACGAAAATATGGGTCGGAGATAGAATCGTTAAGGGGGGCGGGATATAATGTTTCGTTGCTTGTCAATCGCAGGCCTGCCATACGTCAGACCCATGTCGACGGTCTCGGCGGTTGCTGGGAAACAATTTCGCATCAAATGTCCGGTTGCCGGCCATCCCATTGAATCGATCATCTGGGAGAAAGGTGAGTATTATCAATTTCAAAAGGAATGTCCAAAAAAGAGATCATCGAGCATTTAATGCTTCCGCGATCGCCGAAAAAGGAGAAATTATCTAATAAGATCGTTTTTGCCTTGTTTGCGATTCTGATTGATCGTGCAGACGGTGTAAAGCTGCCGACGAACATGCGGCAGAAGGTCGCGAACGGCAGCCTGTACATCGACATGGTGCAACGAGCCGCTGATCAGGGCACGTACACGTGCACCGCCAGGAACAAACATAACTTCACCTCTCAACGATCTGTTGAAGTGCGCGTTCTAGGTAAGTGAGCCGGAGGCAAATATTTTCCGATACCGATCTCTTTTTCCAGGCTTCGCAGGACGGGACGATTTCATTTTGTTGCCGTACCTCCTATTGGTCACGTACAATCTGGTCCGATTCATTTTCATTCATGCCAGAGAGCTCTGTTTGCAGAGCTCTGATGGAGTGGAAATTAATGTAACAACCAGGACTCCGTTTAATGCCAACGAGAGTGCTTCATCTTCGTTAAACGCGCTCTAACTTTAATCGTGTCATATTTTTTTTCTATCAGAAAAGTTAACGAACCACGAAACGTGTTTTTCAATAACTCTAACGTCTTTCGATTGAACGAAACGTGGGAGAGATGAGAAAGAAAATTTTGGTAGGAAAGGGGATAAAATGATCCGCGTAGAACGACAGCTCTGTACGTGACCATTCGAGATATCAAAGTGCGATTATCAGGGGATAATCACGCCGCCGACGTATACGGGAAGTTGTATCATCCCTTTGTTCGCGTCCACTCCCTTCCCCCCTTCGACGCCCGTACCGCGCATCTCCTCCCCGTAATTTTCCGATCTCGCGGAAATCGCATATTAATTACAATCCGTGTATGCATAACATCCCGGCGTGTTTGATGCGTGCCGCTAAATTTACCTCCACACAAAATGTTTCTATATTAGGTTTACGGAACAAATTCCGTGTACTCTATTGTTTATCGTCGGGCCGGATTAGTTAACGCGAGGCAGCAGCGGTTCTTCGTGCGTGAATATGCAGAACATTTGTGTACATATAACAAACGCTGCGAGCTTTATCGTACAAAACTGCAGCTTTTAATTATTTCAAAATGAAACGCGTTTCCCGTTCTCCCACCGAGTTTCGGGGATTATTTCTCCGGAGCGCGGAAGAGACTTCGTCGACGAAAGGTAAATTCGATTCCGCGCAAACAGTCCCCGCGCCGCCGTTTAATCGTCGTCGCTGCCTCGCGAGGAGACCGTCGAGCGTACGCGTATATATATATACGCGAGCTGGAAGCTGACGAAGTGCTGCGGAACTTTAAAAAATTCGTGAAACTTGCCTCGGCAAGTCGCCTCAAAGGATCCACTCTCCGTGTGGCTGGCTCCGGTGGTGCGGGCGCGGCTCGTAATCGCGCAACCGACCCAGAAATCGTATCGCCGGTTCGTATACTTTGAGAAACTGCTTATAAAGAGCGACGAATAAGTAATCGTTTTGCGAATTTCAAATTCCGTTAGCGAATCGGATTAAATACCAAGTAGCCGGCATGAATTAACCCTTCGGAGGGCTTCTTCTGCATTCTAAGGAGTTCGCGTTCGATTCTCCGCGGATGAAAGTTCGAACCGACTTACGTGTACGGTTTCACGTTTGAGCCGCCACCGGAGTCGCGACTATGCTCTGCAGCAGAACGGAGGCAATCAAAGGGAATTGTGCACGGCTGACCGTCTGTGCCACCGCTTCTATGAAACGCAATCGTCCGACAGCTGGACCGTAGTCGATGCACGCAGACCAGCGAGAGAGTTCTCTCTCTCTCTCTCTCTCTCTCTGGAATACGATCGTAGAAGTTTCTGGGCCGGGAAATGTCTTAGGGCGGTGTACTTCCTTTCGCAACACGACAGGGGTTTAACCGTGTGTAAATACATGTGTACGCGTGCGTGTATGCGTCCATCTTTCTCTCTACTTCTATCTCTCTCTCTCTCTCTCTGTCTGTCTGTCTCTCTCTCTCTATCTCTCTTTCTGTCTCTTCTCTATGTGCGTCAACGGATATCCGTGCGTTTGACAACACTCCGCGAACGAATCCACGCACCAAGAGCACAGCACTTCACCGCATCGCTCAAGCATCTGTCCTTGCACGCGCTCGCCTAACTGCTCTCTGTATATACATATATAACATTCGTGTACTCTTGTACATAAAAGTTGAAAGCCGAGGCCGCGTACGTGCACACGGTTCCACGACGCGAGATTCATTCCCAGTCTTATCCGTATGGTCTTACTCGTAGAAATAGATTGGTCCGAACTATCGATTCTGAGATTTGTCACGTTTTAGGTCCAAGTCGGTTTTCTCGGCAGTGATCACGTTCCGTTGCCACGAGGTTTCACGAGGAAAATCGCGTCGGTGAAACGTGTGCGCACGCAATTGTACATAAATATGCTGTTGTCGAAGCATCGATATTCTATTAACGTGACTCAGCCGCCTTCCGTTCGCACGTTGCGCACTTCTAACAATCGTACGATTCGATCAGGAATTGTCATAATTGAAAGGGGGCGAACATTGTCGGTTGCGAACGACGCGGGAATCCGTCGGCTGGAAAAGCAATCAACCGGAGTGGTTTGTAACCGATCGATTGTTTTCCGTTTAGCGGCGCGAAAATTTCACACGTTTCATCGGTTTATCGGCACGCGATACCGCTCGGATAATGCTCGCGAGCCAGGGATTAATTGCGAAAGCTTGCCGGCGGATACATTCAAAGAAGAGCGGAGTTGGGAGCCGTTCGATCGCTGACTTCGTTAATGGAACGGCGAATTTCTCGCGAACCTCTCATACGCGGACGATGGAAAACCGATCGGGAAAAATTTTGTTCACCGGCTAAATATCAATTAAGCCGTTTGTTCCGCTAACGCCGAGGGTTCACTCGTTGAGGCGGTCGGGTGAAAGAAGCGCATTACGCGAGTTACAATTATCCCAGCGTTCCGCGATATTAAAAAGTAACCGTGGCCGAAAGCGGGGATGGAAAAAAGCTGTAATGAAACTCGGGCACGCGCGCGCGCGCGTGTGCATGGAAATCAAGCGTTTTAGAATCTGTTCTTTGATCACGATTAAAACCGTTTAATGTAACTACGGCGCGCTTAGATTGTATCTTCACGTATTTTAATCTTAAAGGGCGGAGTATTTGTCTGTGGAATTTGCTACACGGTGATTGGCAGTTAACTCTTAATTGAGAGGATTAAATGCGTGTCACGTAACCGTCCGAGCGGTGTCCATTGGATTTCGATAAAAGAGGGGAAAAAAAAAAATAACTGCAACGTTCGCTTCATCCAATTAAACCGGTTATTTTTACCGATACGGATTAACCCGTAACGCCGGGATTATGAAATAAAAATTTGCGAGATCAAACGTGAATCAAAGAGAGTTCTAACATTCTTTCAATTACGCAGAAAATTGATAATCTATTTTAAACAGGCGCACGAGTGAAGATCGCAACGTGCTTTTCATCTCTTTCAAAGCTGTATGTGTCTATATATATATCGCAATAACAAACGATATCCTTTTATATATAAATATATACATATATAAAATGCATTGGGACATTCGGTAAAATATTTGTTGAAGCGTTTTCAAGTCGCCTCTTTAAATCCTTAATTCCGTATTCCTTTCATGGAAATTTAATTAACGCCACTGTAATTACAAGCAAGCCTGAAACGAGAGGCCTTTGACCTCGACCGTGCTTTCGTTAAGCAGTGAACGTATGTTTGATGTATCGTACTTTCGATCGTTGCGAGTGTCCCAAGTGCTGGGCTTCTATCTCGACCAGTGCCGTGAAATTCTGAATGGTACCACGAAACATGTATAAAATAACATAAATAATTACACGGCGCTGGACGATTACAAAACGTGTGTTCACTTCTCTTCTCCCCTGTAACCGTACGGAACACACGTAACGCAAACCGTTACCCCGCCCCGAAAAAGAAAACAAGTTTTCTCTACAGCGTTCTGAACCGCTTTTGACTTGGAATGCCACCTTTGTCTTTGTATTGTTCTTTCAGTGCCACCTAAAATCACGCCTTTCAGTTTTGCTCGCGATTTAAACGTAGGGGACCGTACTAGCGTACAGTGCGTGGTCGTGACTGGCGATCTGCCACTGACGTTCACGTGGCTCAAAGATAACGTCCCAATAGAGACGATCAGGACGTCGCAGGATGCCACGTCGTCGGGCCATAGCCGCGTTCAGGCACCGGCCGGTCCTGGGGACGCGATTAAGGGGCCCAAGCGAGGCCCCAAGGCCGACGTGCAAGAACAGTCCCCGAGAAAGGCCATTACCGTCCGGCAATATGACGCTTTTACCAGCGCCCTGAGCATTAGCACGATCGCACCCGCGCACAATGGCACGTACACCTGTCGCGTGGCCAATGGCGCTGCCACCGTCGCTCATTCTGCACTCCTTCACGTCAACGGTAAACGCACACCGTTGGTGTACTTCTTCGTTCACGCTCGCACGCCGACAGAGGTCTGCCGTACGACCCTTGTTTCTACTCCCTCTTCTTTTTTAAATACCAACCATCGATCTTGACGTGTCTGCATGCCCCGACACGACGGATCGTCAACGTTTATCTAATGTCACTCACGATTGCTCGAACGTCGCACGTCATTTTGTAACGTATTAACGAATGCTCGAAGGCGTTCACGTTTCTACGGATCAACATTGATTTTATACTGTACGCAGACATCGTAGGAACGTTTGAAAGTGGCGTGGGATCTTGCGGATCGATACGCGAACAACAGAGCCGGCGGCGGGCGAGTTCGCGATTCACCGAATATAATAAAGACAGACTGGCAATTTTCCAGGCCAGCGGATTATGTGCTCGCGTTGGAAAAGTAACTGATTGATCGGTCGGTAAGGAAACAGCGGAACGCAGTCGGGGTTGGGCGGTGGGCATGATCGATCAATCAGCTCGAGGCATCGCGTGATCAATTTTCCGTTCCGGTTAAAAGAACTTTCGATTCCTACCGTGAAGCATACGTAAATTCGATGCATCAATTACCCTGTTTCCTTTTACCTTTGACTCAGCCAAGTGCCACCTCTGTCGCTGTTTGCGAGCCGAGTTTCTTAAGCACCATGTACACCGATCGTCAACGATGATCTCTGCTGTGATGCTAGAAAGTGCACGACCACGCGGCACGTCCGACGTCCGACTCTCCCCTATGTACTTTCGCAATTCCTCCTCCCGCAAATGAGACACCGCGAGGCCGCGGTATCGAGCGAAACGTGCCGCGCCTCGTCTCCTGTCGGATTATTAGATTTCAATTTAGATTAGACGCGGGAACGGGACGATTCGTCGAGCAGGAAGTGCATACCCGTGGACTCCGACGGGACGTGCCGCGAATTTTTACAATCTCTTGAACATATCCTACGGTTTTGGCTCCCGTCTCTGTCTTTTTACGCTCTCTTCTATCTGTGAACAAACTCGTACTCCTGCACGCTGTTTCTCTTTTGCACGCCTAATTGCACGCTTTTTTCAAAGGTATGTGTACATATGCGGATATTCTTGGTATATATTTATATACATATTGTATCTGTATATATATATTTGTATATTGGTATCATATTGCGTGTTTCTCAACGAACGGGGGTAGATCGTTGCGATTGAGATCTGTGACATCGAAAATCTGTTCGGGAGTGGTGGGCGAGTTTAGGAATCGCAGGCGCATACAATACATTACACACACGTGCACGCGGCAGACACAGACGACCGTGCGCTTTGTTCTCTGTCTCCGTCTCTTTGTCTAGCTGTCTTCTCGTCGGAGGAACCCGTTTCGAATTGGCTGCCGCGAAATTAAACGGGGATCCGGCGTCAGATTAGGATTTTTCGTTTAATTTTGCGCTCGCTGCGCGCCGCGGGTTCGATGTCACAGCGTGAGTAGCAAAGTTGCACACCGCGCGTATCGCGCCGGTTTTTAATCTCCGCGCACGCAACACACGTACAATGCGTCGTTCATGTCCGGCGGACACGTGTCATGTTTTCACACGTCTAATTTGCGTTTTCAGATTAAATATACTTCTACTGACCGATTTGTATCACTCTGTTTGTACTTTTACGGTTCGTTGTAGAACGACACCCTCTCGAACACAATCCGCGTACAATGGTAGGAGATCGTGCTCTCTTTGTCCCGTGTCGAATGTGCCGTCCACGTTTGCTGCTCTCTCGATATTTGTGTTTTGTATCAGTCACGTATATTTGACTTCTGATCCGGTTACATTAATACTACACCACTATTCACTATCCAGTAGTACCAGTATCTTTTATGAAGACTATGCTATGTTTTCGCTCGAGATATTCTCTATCGTTTGTGTACGTACATCATTACCATTCTCATTATCATCATTCTATATCATTACAAGTTATATATTATATTGGATAGTAGAGAATTATGGAACAGATCGATACGAGCGAACTCCAATTAAAGTGTGTCGTTGAAACGCGTCGTTCACTTGGTGAAATCCAATATTCGCGTAATACTTACTCGGCAATGTATGAGCTCTCTCGTATTCGTTCGTTCTGATAGTTATCACGCTCGATAATTAATCTCCTCGGCGTCGTAGGTGATGGTAAGTAACTCATCGTCAACCGAATGAGAAAAGAAAGCCAAACTTATAAACGAATCATTTTTATCCACGATCATCTCGATCAATGTAATCGTGTATAAAATGTTGGGAAAACGAACAGAAGGCCAACCAATAACGACTTCCCTGTTAAGAAGCTGAAAATTTTTCTGTAAGTGCATGAAATCTGCAATCCGCTTCTCGTCACTCACGGTGGATTTTTTAGTATGGCCATAGACCCTGAGAAGGGTCAAGGGCCTCGTACAGAAGTATTGAGCAACATTAGCAGTTACCCGGCTCATAAATGTTCATTTGGCCACGAGGATGTGCGTGCTACCGAATATTTATGGCCGCGGCACCATTTTTCACGGGGGACCGTCGCACCTGTCCACGTTTCGTAGGTCACGTAGTATCAGTAGGAAACACGTAGCACAGGAGTTCCCCAGTTATCGCGGTTATCGAACGTCGTCCCTGCGCAAACCTGAAGTTCGCGTATTCAAAGTAGTAGTATAGGTCCGCGTTTGGTCAGACGTAGTTGGGAAATGCGATTTCGTTGGCCGAATGCTAACGATTATCGAGCGCGTTTTAGTGACGAGCTAAGCAAAGTCGAGTTTCGTGTTACCGATTTTCAAAGTAGTTCGGAAAAAAGTGAGGTCGAGCGATACGGTTGAAATTGAAAGATAGAGTTTTCCGGATGTAACAACGATATCGCGAACGAGTCAACGGGACAGTTCTTGCAGATCGTTTTTGGACTGTCGTTCCCGCCGAGAGGTACATTAATTACACTCGGTACGCTCGGCCGGCCGGGAACGGATTAAACTCCCAGCAGTTTGTACCCGCCGGTTGTATTTTAATGTTAATTTCAGACGTTCGAGAAGAAGATTTATTAACTCGCCGTTGTTTTCGACGCGTGGAGCCGGCGCTATTAATTCCGTTTCTCCCAAGGCCGACAGAGTTTCTCGATTTCGATGTAATTATCCCAACGTTGTTTCACTTCCCCCCTTCCAAAAAATAGACTCAATTAAACAGTCCTAATTTCTCGTAACTCCCTATGAGAATTTCGATAGTTCTAACGGAGTGGTCTAACACTGTACGCTTTCCCTTCGCGCGGACGTAAATTTGTACGAGGACGCGTTCGCCTAGCGTTCAACCCTCATCGCTTTCCACCCCTGACACCAGCCCTCCCGAATTAAAAAAATAAATTCGAAGTAAAACTTGTGCAATCATCGATTTCAACTGAACGTAACAAATATTTATTTACACGTAACGTTTTTAAACATAGTATTTTTATTTTATTTATTAGTTTTTCTATTAAACATTTCTGGACGCGTCCAACGAAGAGACCATTGGCTTGTGGTAATTGAAATATGATACATCAATTGCAACTTTCAGACTGTATGACTGATCAACCACAGATTAAGAATGTTGACTTGAAAAGAGAAAAGAAAAACGTGAATCTGTCGTGGATGGTTAGAGCGGGGGCCTGGATGCGGCATATGCAATTATCACACGTGAACGTTATTATAGTTCCACCGCGGATCTCGCCGTTTTATTTCGAGAACGGTGTGACGGAGGGGATGAGGACACAGCTAATGTGTACTACGAGCGAGGGTGACCAGCCGTTCAACATCACTTGGTTGATGGACGAGAAACCGATTCAGGTCAGGCCGGGTGACGGTGCGTCGTCGTCCGCCGCCGCCGGGTCCGCCGTCGCCGAGACGGGGAACAACATTCAGATAAGCGACTATCCGCCGTTTTCCAGCATCCTGACGATAAATAACGTCAGCGCGAGGCACAGCGGGAACTACACGTGCCAGATCAGCAACGTCGCTGGCCTGGCCGAATACTCGACCAGCCTCTCCGTTGCTGGTTGGTGTCTCAAACAGAGCAACAACAAAAATCGACATATGGTAGCTGTAAGAACCTGTGTACATAAAACCGTGTGCCAGCCACAGATATTATATATACCTGTCTCTTTCTCTCTATATACGTGTATATACATAGATATACGTCTGGCTCATATGTATATACATATCACGGCACAGCCACGAAGGAGGATTGGAGTACGGTGAAGACGTGTTATCGATTCGTGCACCCGTGTTTCCCTCGATGACGCCTCCCCCGACCCATCTTCCCGGATTTTTCGCGATACTTCCGTTACCACGTTCCGCGTCACTGGATTAACTCGCCGAGATCTTTCCTCGTAGAGTAGCTGCCGAACATTCATGGGAAACGTAACATACCCCGGGGGACGTTCCGTGACAAAGGGGACAGATTTGCCGAAATAGTTGCACGTCAAAACGAACCCCGACGCGCGTTCCAATTCCCGATGCCGGAGAAAATTGTTTATAGAACGCGAGTCGTCTGTTTTCTCTTTTAAAATACTTTCCACACGACGCCACGTCGCGCTTTCCTCTACGCGTAAGTGGCTCGAAGAGAATATTCGCTTAAGGGAAAAGGCAGCCTCGCATCGCCGAGGACACTGCAATTACATTTCTCCATCGACTTTTTCATACAGTACACGCTCGTTCGGCTTCTTTTTTAACGCGAGCACGTTCGAGTCTCGTTTTCCCCAACGACGTTCCTCCCGCACAGTGAAACGGCATTACAAGCCTAGCTTCCCCGAGGCGGAAGTTTGCTGGCAGCCGGATCGAGGCTCTCGCGAGGATACGGCGCAGGCAAATTAGTTTCGAGTTTCCGGCTGCCGCGGTAATGCGACTTTTCAAGAAGTTCCCGAGCCCCGTTCGACGATTCCGAAAAGTCACTGGCATCCGCGATCGAATCTAAATCACTTTCCATCTTACTATGAATGGGGCCAGTTTCGGTCTTGTTCGAGCTTTAACAACAAGGCCT